GTTCACTTTATTTCTTGCTAATTCCGCTCTTTTCCACTCTGTTTTTGATTTTTAAACATGATCATAATAAAATGGATGGAAAACAGTCAATATATCTCTACTAATACAAGATGCTGAGATAACTAGCTACCTGAGCTAGGTAAGACCCTCCCTGCCATAATGTTTCAATGCAGTTCCACTTCATTTCAACAAATACAATGACTAGAACAAAATTATAGGGGAAAACTAGGAAATACAAAATGACTTACCCAAAATTATAAAGAAATTGAATAATAATATTGTTTGCAAAATTCTGTTTCTTTGGAAAAATAGTGAAACGTTAGTTGATAATGAAGGTATCTCCTAAAAGGGCTAAGTTACCTGTCTATCAAACATGACTGACATGTTGAATATGTTAATGCACAGATACACAAACTCGTGCTTACACTCAAAGGCAGGGGCAGATAAATAAATATGACAATAGCACATAAAATGTCTTAACAACAGAATTACCCTCTCCCTCAATTAAAACAGCAACTCCATCTAGGGAATCTTTCTTTCACTCTCAGAGAGCTGATTTGCTTAATTTTGATTTTGCACAAAAGGTCAGCTTTGTCTTGTAACACTCGCATTTCTAGATTCATACTCAGTCTCATAACTTTGAAAAGGGTGATAAACATGTAACCCTAGGTGCCAGAAGGGAAAGAAACATTAAAAAACACATATCCCTCAATTCTTGTATTCTCTATATGTCATGAAATATGGTATAATCTTCTTTTTACATATGTGTTTATGTGTTACCTCATATTCTAGCTGAAAGGTCAAACAAGTTGATGTTGACTTTTAGAGTGTTGGATATTTTGATGATACTTACAGTTGCTGAAGTTTGTCTGGATTCCAGTAAATAATATTAAAACCAGAATGCATGATATGATGTTAGACCTTGAAGTTCTATTAAATGGAAACTGAATGATACTTATGTATCCGGTATACATTAGTGTATGTATATATGGGCTATTTTGTGCATGTGCTGTTTTGACATATCCCTAAATATGTGGTTTATGGTCATTCTAATAACCAACGCTTACATAATTTACAGACCCTCTTAATTACTCAGTTGCGAGTAGGTAGTTACCAGTTTCGCCACCAGGTGGCTGATTCGGGGGAAATAACATGGCAGAGTATTACAAAATTCCCTTTAACTTGAATAATCATCAGTTTTACTGGTTCACTTTTTATGTTACCCTTATGTCCCTGATAGTTATACAAATTAAAATATGTCCAGTAAAAGAAAAAAAATATAATCTGCCCAACAGAAGAAAAGATATTTCACTTATTGTGATTTTACAACATGGGGTCTATGGGGAATCTCCCCGACCTAGAAGTCACATTTTTAAAGAAAATAAAATTTTCAAAGTTGATAAACTCTTTTCAGAACCACATTTCTAGATGTAATTTTACATGTAGATTCCAAATATGACATCAGTTTGACTGAATTTTTAATGACGTAAATGAAGATTATTTCTACTCGCATCTAGGATATTGTAAATCCACGAAACAGTGTATATCTTATTGTAAATCTGTGAATCAAGGTACATGTGTATCTAATTTGTAAATGCATTATCTAATGCCAATTCACATTTTTAAGGGGTGTATGATAGAAGTATATTCCTAATTTTCAATGTCTGTAATCTCCTTAAGGTGACAATGGAATCTCCGGGAGACAATGGGAAACATTACATCTTAGTGAGACTTAAGCTATGCAACTATGGATGTCAAGACATAATTTCACATTAAGTTTATCAAAATTAAAATTAAAGAAGAGACACTGAGATAGCGAAAAGCTTTGAGAATGAGTTTGAAAAACGATACATGAAATCGTGTAATTGTAACACATTCAAAGAGTACAAATCCATAATTTTGGATATATTTAGACTTGGCTAAGTCTGTTTTTTAAAACCTATGGGATCAAAGCCCTTATTTGCAAGGCACTGATCAGCCAGCGAGATCTATGACAGTTTATATATACATGGCACTATTTACGATACCATCACCTGTAACATGAAAGGCTTTCACAGCTTCACATTAGGTTTCAACAATTACCTGCAATAGTTATAAACAAATTGAGGGAAAATGTTTTAAGACCCTCTTAGCTAGGTTAACGCAGTCTTAATATGCCTCCGTTTCCATAACATCGCATCTATCATATTATTCAAGGTTTTCCGGCAAAAGTTTGTTATAGTCTACAAAAGATCAACGTGTACAGCTGTGATCAATTTTCAATGATTTTGAAATACACATGTGTTGATCATTTTTTAAGAGCTGATTAAATATTGGATATATACAAGGGTGGAAAACCGTGGATCTGGTTTGAAGGGTGATATATTTTGACAAACAGTCTCAGAAACCAGATGCCCCAAAGTGCATACCTAGTGCATACACCTTGGTTCTGTATGTCACCTAAATGGGACATTATTTTTACTTATAGACCGATACCTGGTACAACCTACAGAATAATGGGAATGGGTCTTCTTACTAAATCTTTCTATTTTTGTTTTCTAGCCATGTGATGTTCCCAAAATCTAAATACAGCTCTATGCTTTATTAGTGCGTATTTAGGTCTTTATATTTATTGTATTTAGACTTGCTCAATATTTTACACAAATTGTAGACTTCTTTTTAATGATAGGAAATATAAATTAGAAATTGTTGATAGTCAGAATTTATTTTGATAAAAGAATATGTTCTTATTTATTTTTCTATAAAGTCTCTGAATTCTCTTTTCATCATAAGTTGCAATAATACAGTGCTATCAATTTTTATCCTATTCAGGGTTAAAGAACATTCTTTCTGCTTTTCTAATAATGCCTAATGTGCCCTTTTAGATCAAGGTTTATGTGATTTTTATAAATAATCTTAAAATCTGGGAATTGAATCATAAACACACATATTTCTATCAAATATATCAATGTTAATGCTTAATTGTGCTTAATTCTTAGCTTAACAAATATGTGTGAGAATATACTAAACCTTTAATTATTTATTTCACCCTTACAGCTGTAGATCAATTTCATGGATAGTTTTCTAGGATGTACCCCAAGATCTGATCCTTCTCAATGAGAACCATCCACATTTGGCACTATGGGTGGTGTAGCTTCTCTCCCTATCTATCCACACCCTTATTACAACTTGTTGAAAGCAACGCTGGGAAATAAATTCTCAATTTAAGACCTACAGGAATGCACCTAGGACAGACCAGCCTCTCATCTCTATTTTAGTGCTGCTTTAATTGTATCAATTTCATAACAAGTTTTCTAAAAATGTCTGGTAAAATTATATTTCCTGTAAGCTGTTAGCTGGCTGCATGGTTGCTATATTTCAAACTGGTTGTTCACATATGTACAGTCTGGCGCACAGACACAATAAAACAACATGTCAAAAAATCGTATTAACATTGTAAGTTACGGGGTGGAGAAGGATATTTTAACTCAAAAAGTAATCCATTTGGTAAAGTAAAGAAGTGAATCAATTGAAACATATGATACAGAGCTACTGCTAACACTCAGATACTTATACACTTCTTGAAAAAGACTTCATGTTTCAAGTACAGAGTGAAGTTTGAAGCAAAGGCTAAGTTTAGTGCCTCCCTAGAGGGAAGAGATTCGTGTCATAAATGGTGGATACGTCCCATTCAAACAATATTTAAGAATGTGCATTGACCAGCTTCCACATAAAAATTGTCAGTGTTGCCTCAATTTATGACAATACTATATAAGGAGATATTTATAAACAGCAGAGGTAAAAAGAAAAAATATCTTATTTACATTGTTGTCAGGTGCCCACCTACACCCCAGTTGTGTGCTTATAAATCAGCCTAATTATTCAGTTGCGGTCAGAATGTAGCACTTGGTGCATTTAAAATACTTGCTTTGGAAGATACACCAAAGTTCTAATGGGTGGACTATATAGCCAGAGCTACAGATATACTGAGAGGTTTGGGATACAGAGATTATCCCAATGGAAATATGTGTATCTCCTGAGGTAGTTTACTTGATATACCCTTAGTTGGAAAAAATACATATTTGAGGAAAAACCTTGAAAGCAGAAATGGTAAAATGCAGAATTTTTGCAGCATTTTCTTGCTCCGTTTGCAAAATTTAGATCCTATATTGCTTGCAGAGAAAAAGTTGGGTTGCCAAGGCACTAGAATTTATTGGTTTGTTAATCTCATGTAAAAAGAAAATATTTGTTTCTAGGCATAAAAGAATAAAGCAATGGAAAAATGTACTATTTGATACAACATCCGAGTATAGATGGCAGATTAGTAGATAAAAATGAGCAACTACTCATTCAAATACCATGTAGTCTTCTAAGCTGAAAGTTCATACAGATTTGAATGTGGATCTGTATAAGGCAGCTTAGCCTAAATAACAAGCTTGACAAAATCTTAATGGCTTTTCTGGCTTGTACAAGGGATGCATGTACAATATATTCATTCTAAACAACAACTTCAAACTGCAGTTTTAAGTTCTTCTATCAAGAATTTCATATCCTCCAACAGTTTTATTTGCATATCCTCCAACAGTTTAATTTTCATATCCTCCAACAGTTTTATTTTCATATCCTCCAACAGTTTTATTTTCATATCCTCCAACAGTTTTAATTTCATATCCTCAAACAGTTTTAAAGACATTTTTGTGTTTTTGGACAACCTTAGTCTCTAAAACAGCATCCTTGACACCTGATAAGACTATACCCCTTTGAGAACTAGAAAGATAACCCTTCTATTGAAAATACTGTTTAAGCAATGAATCTCAGGTCTAATTCATTCCAATAGCAAATCTCTGGTAGAAATCATCATACTGCAGGTAGCAAAATAACTAAATACATGGTAGGAAAAAGTGTAACCTTTCAATCCCAGTTATAGGATGTCTAACCATTTAAAATTCAATGCTAGGTATTATTTGAGATTTGACGTTTAATACATACATCCCATCTTTACTTCTTGCAAACCTACTCACCTTTGGGTTCCATGTTATGCCTGTTGGAACATATTCGCTCACATACTGTTCAAGGCTTTGCAATAACTTCTTCAAGTCACGAGCCCATTGTACTTTCGTATCATCACTGAAACACAGTTGACAAGTTTTCAGGATGTAGGTAATTAATAAGATAAAATAAATATTTCAAATCTTTGATTGTAATTCCAAATATTACAGTACACTGTATGGCTAAAAGTACTAGAAATACCAGGTATAAATGATGAAATGGATTTTACTATTAAGTTCCATAGCTGCAAAATGATATGCAATATGTATAACTATAGAAATGTGAAATTGAAGGAACTAAATTAATTTAAGTCAAGAGATAAATGTAGCATTGTGTAAATAATACTTTTTATTACTCTGCCCTTTGTAATGTAATTATGTTGTAAAAAAGAAAGTATTGTCACCAAATTGGTGGTTGAATAAATATACAAATACAAATACAAGTGCAATATATGATTCTGGAACTTACCTCCCTTTGAAATCTTTTATGATTCTGTTCATGTAGAATTCTCCAGATTCTCCAATTTGCTTTATATAATTGACAGGTTTTGGGACCTTGAAACAAGATATTTACATACGAGTTATACATGTAGTAATAGAAATTGATAGGTTTGGAAGCCTCAAAAGACACATAGGCATAAGTAACAATAATGTTGATCAGTCATCCTGCAATCTTAATTCCCCCTAAAAGTTTCATAAAAAAACGATTTGAATGCTGAATATATTTGAATGCATCCCAAGCCCTATTAACAATAATAGCCATAACTTCAAGATTAGCTTAAGGATATATAAAGAAGTAAAAAAACCTCTTGACTTGGGACTAAATACAAATGCTCTACTTACAATTGTGACCCATCCAAGTGCAGGGATAGCCTCACTAAGGGCAGAGAGGAAATTAAACTCTTTGCTGCTTCGATTCTTCTCCCTGAAGTCTTGGACTGCAGCTATAGCATCAGATGTTGGCTTCAGAAGCTTCATTAAGTCATTCTGAATGTAAAATATGAGCATTAGGAGTTTTCTTTGGGTTATGTAATGTAATGTATTAATGCACTAACTGGCATTTTCATATGTTGTTCTACATAAATTTCGTTAAATAACAATAGTCGTGACATTTCGATAAATGTCATTATAAAAATATGCATGATGATATGCTTATTATATTCTAGATATATATGCATGCAACCCAATCTTGTGAACTGCCTGATATAACATATGCTCTACCACATCACATTCATATGCCTCTTGTATGTATTTGGAGAAACAAAGTCTACCAACCTGAGATGGCATCTTGCACTGGCCAACCTTGACAAGGAATGCCCTTTGTGCCTTTAAGGCATCATTAAACATAGCAGCCTGAAAAGTAGAGTACATGTATGTACATAGCAACAAGTAAAGGAAATTCAAATTAAAACTTGTTTCTTTAAATCAGGAAAATAAACAGTATAGGTTTCACATGACCCGTTACAATATAATATAATACAGTCGGAAGCATGGAAAGACTACCATTAATTCTATGTGAATTCTTATGGAACTGTTGTTAATTATATCATGTTGTTAATTATTAAGTGAGCCACAGAGGGCATGTAGAAACTTACCTGTGTTTTCACATCCCCTCCAACTGTGCCACAGAGGGCATCTAGAAACTAACCTGTGCTTCCACATCCCCTCCAACTTTGCCACAGAGGGCATCTAGAAACTTACCTGTGTTTTCACATCCCCTCCAACTGTGCCACAAAGGGCAATGAAGCTGGCTGCAGGGCCATTGAGGAAAACATCATACTGTTCCACAAATTCGGGAGTTGCATCTGTAAAACACAAATTGATAAGATTTACATCAAATTCTGGATATGAGAGAGATTTTGATAATAAAGAATGAATAGGCAATACAATACAACATAGCTTTGCTTTGACTTAATACTCTTGCTATAGACCCAAGATAAATCCTCCTAAAACATTTCATTCTACTAATATATTGTACTGGCTCTCATAATTAAAACTTTAATTATGTTCACACTGGAGACAACATTGTGAGGTGCATGATGAACTCCTGTGTTCATAGACATAATTAAAATGTATTAGAGAGTAATTTCAGCTGCCATATGTCACCTGTACAGGTGTCTTGAGGACCCCACCTATGTAACAATGAGAAAAAAATATGATCTATAATACTACAGGTAGTACTCTATATATTTTAAATTGAATTCAATTGGTAAGACTCTTATTAAAGACCAATTAAATGGGCAATATTTGCCAAGTATTCACATATTATGATAACAGCAAATCTCATTCCCCCTTAAAAGCAGTTAACAGTAATATACATTCACATCAAATTCTGTTCTTTGATATATTTATATATACAAAGTATACTTACACATAATGAAAATTGAGAACCAATTTGAAATATGCAAAGCAATTGAATTTCAAAATGTCATCTCTGATATCCTATATAAAAGTTGATATAATTTTCCATTAAGTCTCGACAGCAATAGCAAATAAAGTGGGCTGATGTCACAGTGACCTTCTGAATCATCATTTATTAATTATAGAGTGTAACACACTTGTAACGCTAATTCCACTTAACTACTCATTTATATTTTTTATCTATTTTATACATACACAAAAATAATAGCAATATGTATTCTTCTTTGTAGCATTTCCTCTGTTTTATTGGTGAGTACTTTTATGGTTTATAAGTTTGAGAAGACTTGAGTTTTTCTTTTTTATCTGCACCAGCTGGGCCCACATTTTTTTCCGAAAGACAGTTTCTCTTTCAGACCATACTTTTCTTTAGTTTAAACCAGGCCTATAAATATGTTGTTTGACCAATAAGGGCCCGTGGGACAATAAATAGCTAAACATGTATATAACTGCTAATTAGGAAAATGTAGCATTTCACTTTCAAGTTCATATAAATATTTGAAGTTTAATTTTAGCTGAGCAAACAAATGCCTGTCATTTTTAAAAAAGTACTTCACATTTATAGGTCCATGTTTGAATGTTTGAGGTGTCATCTGACAAGATTGAATATATGAACTAAAAAATAAGAACATCAATTTCATAAAAAGAAGGTACATATTAAGACGATAAACTTAACATTAGAATTTGGTTCAATCTCAGACATAACAATCTTTGTAAAACAAGACACACAGTGATAAATATCGCACTTTGAAGAGCAAACTGGCCACCATGCAATTTACCCAGCATGGCCAAAACCTAATCAGAACTTGGCACTAGTCTGCTCTTGCATCTGTAAACATTTCAAGTTGACAAGGTTAGCGGTTTTCCTGCAATTTTGATGACAAGAATTTATTTGTAGTCTTGAACTTTGGGAAAATTTAGATAACATTGTTTGTGACCTAATTTGATGACCTTCGACCTTGAAAATTTCACTTTTTCAGACCTCAGTAGGTGTTTTGTAATTAAGCTGACCTAAATTTAAATCCAAAATATCAATTTAGAAAATCAACTTTTTTGACCTTTTCAAGGTCACTGAAGGTGAACGAAAGGTCAAATCTGAAATGTAAGGTCAGATTTGAACTTCTGAGAACTTGTAGATGTTTTTTAAAAAAAAATTGGTCAATTTGGAGCAAGTTGAAAAATTCAAAATGGCCGCCAAATTTAAAAATTCAAAATGGCCACCATGTAATTCAGCCAGCATACCCAAAAACTAATCAGATCTTGGCAATAGTCTGCTCTTGCATCTGTAAAAATTTCAAGTTAAACGGATAAGTGGTTTTCCTGGAATTTTGATGACAAGATTTGTTGAAAAATTCAAAATTGCCGCCACGTAGTTTACCCAGCATGCCCTTAACCTAATCAGATCTTGGTACTAGTCTGCTCTTGCATCTGTAAAAATTTCAAGTTGAACAGGTAAGCAGTTATCCTGGAAATTTGATGACAAGATTTGGTTTATGTGCCGCCCGCCCAACAGCACAAGACGACGACAATATAGATAATAATAATAATAATAATAAAAAAAAAGGTTTGTTTTTTTACATTTTATATTCAATGTTGTCAGGTTGTACTCATTGTTGAACTGTCTATAAAACAACATTTTTGCGGGGGTAAAATGCTGTTTAATTAGGCGACGGACATCGTTTTCAGTCTTTCACATATTTGACTAGGTCAGATGGTGATAAAAAATCGTTAATAAACGAAGCAAATCATAAGTTGAAATTTCATTGAGAAAATTCAACATTTTGACTTCCGTTAGAAGGGGGAGTGGGATGGGTCAAGACCTAACTAAATTAACCATGTTTTTTGATGGTCACCGATGTTTTAACCTGGGCCTTCATACAACAATGGAATATTTTTGAAAAAGGCGACTATCATATTTGTTTCCATAAATAAAAAAACCAATACGACAAACTAACTCTGAAAAACTAATTCATCACCTATATGAAAACTAAATCATCAGCTCTGAAAAACGAATTCATTAGCTATGAAAAACTAATTCATCAGCTACAAAAAACTTATTCATCAGCTACAAAAAAACTTATTCATCAGCTACAGGAGTTAATTGATCTGCTATTTGCTCTTCTATTCCAGAGTCTGATTGAAGCTTGATTTCACTTTAACATGACAAATGGAACATTCTAATAAGGCCTCTGGGATCAGATTGAAAAGAACTGCTTTTTTACATTTGAAAACGCTTTTTGTTTTGTGTGTAGTTGATATTACATTTTAATGAGAATCAATGACTATTTGCACACTCAAACCCCATTCATGATCTCATTAATTACATATTACATTAGATTGCATTTTCACTGAACACAATACAGAAAATCTGATGAAATATCAAGTGCAGAGCACAGGAAATGAGCGCAGTGAGTTTTAAGGGGTGTAAACTAGGCTGAATCTTTAAATACATCATCCTGTTACTATGGTTACCTTCAACTACTACACGAGGTTTCAGTAACTTCATGTAATCTGTGGATGAATCACTAAGATACCCATCTTGATGCCCAGGAGCATGTAGATAGTCATTATGTAGGCTCTCTTTATCAGTTCTCTGTCTATTCACTGACTGTACGCTCTCACAGCTTACCCTCTCTGTCTCAACTAACTGTACGCTATCACCGTTTACCCTCTGTGTCCCAGCAGAATCTGTGGTTTTCAAATATCTTTGAATTTCTGGCGATCTTGATGGGCTTCTTTGCTTTACTGTTTGTTTATTAGCAGGTGAGCTTGAAGGAGTTCTTGATTTTAATGTCACAGCCCTGACACATTCTGGTGATTTTGTATTAGCTAATTTCGATCCATTCTGCTGAGATTTGGAAGTCAGATTCTGATTTGGTTTCACAGGTTGAACATTTTCTGGTGAGTTTTTGCGTGTTATTCCATTACTGAACCCCCTTCTGAGCTGTGAGACAGATAGAGGGGTAGAAGACGTGTCATCTTCATCAACAATTTCTTTTGGCTCAGGCGGCTTTTTGATCCTTTTGGCTGTCCAATGTTTTAGAGTAACCTTATCCTCCCCAAACTGATACATTATTGCAACGTTTAATCCAAATTTTCCTTTTTCAGAATTTTCTTATTATCTGTTTTTTGAAGCCTTCATTCCGTCACATTATAGACAATTGTAATAATTTGTGAATGTTGATGACAATATGGCTGATATATATGTGTAGCAGGGCACCATTCATCAGGGTGTCATATTCAACTATGTAACAGGATAATAGCTGAGCCAGTAAAATATGTCGCCACTTAGCTATCCACTCAAAGACTGCCAGCTGGTGCCATTTTGATTGTCCGATTCATCATAAAATTTATTTATAGCTAAGTAATAGGAAATAGGTGATGATTTAATTTTGTCTTCTAAATCATGATTTAATTGGTAGACTTATTAAATATATTTATATTACATGTAATTAGGTCAAAGTGACCTGTACTAGATTTATAGATTTGCACTTCAGAAATATTTACTTCATTAAGGCAGGCAGAGTGGAATGATTTCTCAACTTATATTTGATAAATCAAGGTTAATAAGTAAGAATATTTATTCAACTCTGCCTACCTCAAATACCTTACTGTATAAGTGGTAATTAATCCGAGTGGCTAATTTGCTTACTGATTGGTCAAATTTTATCTCTTTCCTAATGACAAGAAACTTTCCATTGGATAACATTATGAAAATAATATTTCCAACATTTAATTTTCCGAAAAAAATTAGGCAATAGGCAAATTAAATGATAAGGCAAAAAATTACCACAAATAAAGTATTTAAGAAACCTAATACGTGAGGAGTCCAGAATTGGCGCAATACTAATTATATCAGGAAGTACACACAGGCTCTATGATACAAGACCAAAATGATATAATATAATTCTATTATACCTCCACTGACTTGACCACCACCACCAGCACTACTGGAGGCTGTCTCCAACCGTGTGGCAACGGTCTCTAGGCGAGTTATTAAGCTTTCAAGTTGTGTGTTTGACATTTTCTGTAGTGTGCTTACTGGAGGGATGGATGGGTGTCCTACAGGTATATAAAATACACATATAAGCAAAGCACTAATCAATCAATCAATCAATCATGTCATCAAACAACCACTTATATTTCAGATACTGTAAAACATGAATATTAATTTACAAGACACAATTTTAATATTTTTGTGTTTAATCCATTAAATTGTTGAATTCAATGAAGGACCCACGGTCCTGTGCTCACACAGTTTGGAACCTTCAGAGGAATGTATATCCTGACTTTCAAACAAAAATATTGATTTGGATTTGTAGTCTCGAACTTTGAGAAACTTAGATAGCACAGTTGTGTGACCTAGTTTGATGACCTTTGACCTTGAAAATTTTACTTATTCAGAGCTCAGTAAGGTCTTTTGTGATTTAGCTGACCAAAATATACATCAAAAAATCTATTTGAAAAATCAACTTTTTTGACCTTTTGAAGGTCAACTAAAGGTAGATGATTTTCAAAAAAAATTTGGTCAAATTGAAGCAAGTTGAAAAATAACTTATTTTTACTGTTTTTGACATCAAATATCTCAAAAACGGTAAAAATTTGATGCTGAATTATATAGTGAGCAATATGTAGGGAATGCTTAAATCTAGTAATGATGTAATTCATTGCAAGAAATGATCAAGTATAACACAAACTTTGAGAAACTTGTCAATCACAAATCCTGCCATTGACTTTATACATGAGAAAGTTTCCTGAAAATGAAGTCCTACTTTTTGTCAAATTTTATAAGTTATTTGAAAGTTCTACTTCAACGAAGTGTCTAGTATTTACAGAAAATTTGACTTTTTGACGTCAAAATACGCAATTTTTCGGAAACCGTGCGAACTTGGGAAATGGCGATGATAGGTCAAATAGGCATTATGGATATGCATAAAATGAAAATGGATATGACTCAATCCGAATAGCAGTTTTAATTTGTGCGGCCAATGTTGACGGATGGACAAACCAATGGACGGACGGATGGATGGACGGACGGACGGACCAACGGACAGACGGACCAACGGACGGACAGACGCCTGGTCGATCCCATAGGCTCACTGTGTGAGCCAAAAACCATACACCACTGACTTCTCTTTAAAATTATATGATTCTTAGATTTGTATTCAGGATAGAAATGCATATTTCACCTTCGACTTTTGGGAGCTAACCTCATTTACATAACAGTAGGTAAGCTCCCATAAGGCAATACCAGAACAACGGCAACGCCAAAGCGTAGCGAATCCCATCAAACAGAAATGGCTGGCATTTTACAAACAAAATATATAGCAAATATCGTAAAATAACACCCATAAGAAAGGCCACCATTTTCAAAATGGTTGCTCACTAGACAAGTTGTCATCAGCATCAGTAATATGCTTTTAAGTAGCCACAAATAAAATTTTAAATTTTTTTTTTAAAAATCGCCCATGCATACATGTAAATGCTGGCCATTTTCTAAAATGGCTGCCTACTACCCAATATGTCATAAGACAGTATGCAATCCTTACCAGTATTCACATATCAAATATGAACAATATCGCTCTATTACTTTTTGAATTATAATAAAAAATGTAAAATAACAAACATAAAAATGGTGGCCACTTTTCAAAATGGCAGACTACTCCCCAAAGTTTTATTTGACAATTTCAAAATGGCCACCTGCTATGCGTGTCATGAGACAGTGTGCAAGGCTCATAAGTATTCACATATCAAATATGAACAAAATTCCTCTACTACTTTTCAAGTTATAGTAAAAAACGTACGGCTTACGGTATTTGAGTTATTGCTCGGACGGACAGACGGACGGATGGATGGACGTATGTACGGATGGACGGAGGCGTTCCCTATATCCCTCCGAACTTCGTTCGATGGGATAATAATGAATTGAAATATGGAAATTTTCATCTTGAAATAAACCCCATAAATCCATTCATGGTTCACCTTTCCAAACCAAATAAGCAATACATGTAATGTGCAATGCACTAAAAGCAATCTACCATGTACTAGAAAATAAATTTACAAAAATACATTAAACATTCTGGGCCATTGTTCAACCATATTTACAAGAATTCTAAATTTCCAAAGGGTGTTTTATAGGGAAAGATTGCTCACCTTGGCTTCTATAGTAGTTAATTTTTTGGATGAGTGAAGAAAGTTGAGGGTTGACCTCTTGAACACTTGGAGACGTTGGGGGTATTTGGAATACAACTGAGTTCTTGGTACAAACTGTAACCTGGAAAACATATACATGTACATATAATTACATTTACAAAATATACATGTGCTCAAGACCAAAACGATATAATAGAAATGTTAGCTAAATCTGAACACCTCCAAATCTGAACACATTTTTGGTCCCATTTTTCCTCCCATTGACTCCCATGTAAAAAAAACTTGAAATGTGTATACTTCGAAATTTGAACTATGAACAGTCATTTGTAAAATTAACCTGTCTCATCTGCAGTTTTCATAAAATATTACATGTTTCCTACAAAAATCGCTCGTTGTTTTATCATAATATCCCAATTTTTGGAAAAACATTGATTGGTTTCAACAATAATATGTCTAACATGACTATCTAGTTTGTTGGGATAATTACAGAGACCAGGGAACAAAGATCATATTTGATCAACAGTGAATTTTATACAGAATAGTTCTATATTGAGGATGGATATAACAGCACATTTCAATTTGAGATACAACAGGGATTTAGAAAACACAATGCATATTATTGTACCGTTTGTACTTAATCAATACACATTGCATACAGGACGCTGAAGATGATTGTAATATCACCATAGTTACCTGAATATCAACATAGTTACCTGGTTATTATTAACAGAAACTTGGGTTTTATATGGTTTTTGTTGTTTCCTTGGTTGTTGTTGTTGTTGCTGTTTTTGTTGTACTTGTTGCTGATGTAATAATTGTTGTTGGTGGTCCTGTTGCTGTTGTTGTAATTGTTTCTGTTGTTGTAATTGTTTCTGTTGTTTTTCACTGAACTGCTGATTAGGAGACCTTTGTTTATTTACTTGGTTAGAATGTTCTCGATTAACGTTGCTCCGAGGATGTTTTCCTTTTTGCTGGGGAGAACTGTTATATCCAGGGGGAGGGGCCTGATTGCGTAGAGACTTCGGTTTGTGAGTCTGAAGTTTCTCGTCATGTGACCTGGGATCAGCAAATGTATCAAAGTCCTTAGTACGCTTCTGCTTTTTGGAACCTGAAATTAAAAGTTATGAAAATGTTTTTGAATACTACCACATTGATTTGCATTATATACCATTAAAAATGGTTTGATACAAAATGACATTTGACTAATTGTATTGTAAGGTGCTTACTTCAATCATTGCATGCTATTGAGAAAAACATGAATAAAATCACACAAGCCACATGACCTTATGCTATCACAAAAAATAATTCAATCTCTAATAACAACAAGAATCTATGTACATCTTTTTGAATAACCCTAAATGAATACCTTTCTTTGTAGCTTCCTTTAGATTTATTTTCCCATGATTTAATGTAGCAGACACTCTTAACTGTGAACACCTTAGAAAGTAAACAATTCTACTGTAACCGTCACAATTCTGTTCACATCATAAGCCATCTTCTACCATACATTGCCCATCAAATTATAAAATACAAACTTACTGTTAGAATTTCCCATCGCTATTATCACATTTATATCCTAGCCAGACATGTTTATTTCAATACAGCACTACTGCCATTTTTTATTTTATAACCTTATTGGCTATATAAACAGTAACTGTTCAATCTGAATTTTTTGGCCACCAATCTTCAGTGGTTCACTGCATACAGTTGACCTTCAACACACAGGTGACTACTCAAACAATTGCATATTGTGTCTACCTGTTCATATAAAACATATATACTGTTAGTTCAACAAGTTAAACCCAATACCACGGCTTTCATTTTTTAATCTGAATGTTCGTGTTGCCGTGGTTGGGTTTAACTTCCGTGCTATGCTTTCGTTTGTTGCAAATTCCCACCATCAGTTATTAATTAAACGCGCATCGAATTCCATGCGGAACCATAGGCCACCATTAAATTTTTTTGCATCAAGGGCTGAATAGGCACGGAAGTTAAACCTAGGGCGGGCCACAAGATATGTCAGATAAGAAATAAGGCCCAGACTAGGTTTAACTTGTTGAACTAATATACTGTATGCAGATTTATGTGCTTTATTTCCTTCTGCTTGTCCTATATCACACAAGCAATAAACCAAGGCTCTGCTTTTATAATACAAATCTATCGCCTTGCTTCAATAATGTAATCCCAACGCATTAATCCGTTATATTGAATTAACATATGTGATCAACTAAACGCAAATGTTTTCTGAGTTACCGTACAGGTTATGATGGTACCATGTAGTGTTAGCACTGGGGCTTGTCCTATTTATCTTACGATGTTAACGTGTAAACATCTTTTTAAACTAAAACCTATGACAAGTCAGCACAGTATTGAGTAGAATATCTAAAGAGCGCTCACAAAAGCCTGGTTGGTGTATATGCAAAGAAAAGTAGTATTGATCTTTATTCTCTAAATGGACTTATTTGGTGTTATGTACTTATATGATGTTTGTACATATATAACTGAGTATAAAATGACTCATTCAATGGCCCCATATAAAAGTGATACCACCTGGTGTTCAAGAAAGTCACTAATCTCAACATTAAAACATCCCAGTCCAAACTTGACACAGAGTGTACAATATTGCACCTGCATTGAAAATAGTATCATATATATATACACTATACAGGGTGGGCCAAAAAAAACGCCACTTTTTTTTTCAAGACACCACAACTTTTTTATTTTCCAACCTACATACCCCAAATTTTGCATTTATATAGTGCCAAGGGTTCTTAGTAATAATATAATGTAACAAGTCCTTCAACTTGGATTATATTTGATCTAAAAGGGGAGTTCACTTGGTTCGCTACCCTAATTAATGATATACGAGGGGTGATCCAAAAGTCTTGGACGCCCTGCCCTAATTTTGTTGGCTTTTGACAAAATTACTTTAAACTTTCCAATAATAAAGACCAACAACTTAACTACTTTGTGTATTAATTTCATGGTGAAATGATATATTTTATTTAGTTTTCTAGATAGTTATCAATATAGGGACCCTGCCACCCGGAACGGTATTCACATATGGCAACTTTCAGCCTTAAATATTGCCGCTATTTGACTTGTTTTGCAAGTCTTGACCACTATCTTTCCTTAAATTTTGAATGTCTAACCATTTTAGTTTACTACCTTTGTTACTAGGCAACCAATTAATTGTGTTTTAATTTTAATGTCACATATGACAATGGCCGTATATGTAAAGTACTAAGAAAATGACATCAGCCAATCAACCCTCATTCTGGTATCATTTTCTCTCCAAGGTGGCTGCTGAGATGCAGAACATGAAAGAAATCAAAGTGGAACAAATAATTCTACAATATATTGTCACTATTATTGACCTTGAGCAGCTTCCATATGCACGATACAGTCTAGCTACGGCTCTGTGTGATTTTCTTCCTTTTCTCCAAGTTGAAAGGAAGGTTGGAAGAAAATGTTTTTTGACTCATCGGATGAGAATAGAGTGGCACTCCAGCAGCATTTGTATCACATAAGCAATGGCGGTTTCATAAATGTCTTTCATTCATTGGTAAAGCGGTGTGAAAAATGTGTTCAAATTCATGGAAAATATGTTGAAAAGTAGGTCTTAATATGTGAAGATGATAATGGCAGATGACTCTCAGACTGAAAATCAGAAATTCTCTCATATCATGACTGGTGTTAGGTTGTGCACCTGCACCTGAAGTATTTCCCATATTAAAACAGTTGTGACGTGATTTGCTATATTTAAATACCGTTCCGGGTGGCAGGGACCCGGTATTAAAAAATATTCAGAAAAGTAGCTAAATTTTATTAGTTTCTGTTGAAACTTATACACAAAGTTGTTTAGATATTGATCTTTATTATCTGAAAGTTTCATGTAATTACATTAGAAAATAGCAAAGTTAGAGCGGGGCGTCCAAGACTTTTGGATCACCCCTCGTATTTTAGTTTTAGTCGCCTTGCTGATATTGTGATATCAATGAAATGTTAGCTAAGTTCTTTTCAACCTCTCTTAATTGCCAGCTTTAGTTGAGCAATTTTCTAGATTGGGTGCCTTTATACAATCTCCTGGAGATCTTCCAATACCCTATACTCACAGGGGTTTGCATCAGGGCTATTATCAGTTCAGGAACATTTTGCAAATTATGCTTATTTCTCATGGCACACCACATGGTATGCAAATTATGATTTAATATCAAAAATTAAAAAAGTTAGAGCATTTTGAAAAAAAAGTGGTGTTTTTTTGGCCCACCCTGTATATATAAGTAAAAATAAGAAGAACTAATAAAATACGTTTGAAAATCTAAACATGTTTCTTTATTCCTCAGTAGATTTTTCAAAAATGAGAACAAGAGGTATACAGGTAAGTATGACGTAATATTAATATAATTAATTAAACGTCATGGAAACCAATAAACAATTTATTTGTTTAGTTTTGGTTTAAGATATATACAGGTAAGTATGACGTAATATAAATATAATCCGCATATATAGTAACCAATAAACAATTTATTTGTTTATTTTTGGTTTAAAAATATACAGGTAAAAAGGTATATGACGTAATATTAATACAATTAATTATTGTCAGTAGTATTTATCCATCACGTACAATTTAACCGTTACATGTATAGTAACTATACTATACTATACTATACTATACTATATATATATATATATATATACGAGGGTTGATCACAAAGTTCTCATAATATCTCTCTAATTTCTTTATTTTTCAATATATTCTAATGAAATTTTCACAGAATGTGCAGCATAGAATGTCTTATCAATTCAGCAAAAAATATTTAGTTTAACAGAAATATTAAATAAGAAATGGTTGCCATGGTAACGGCAAATCAAGGCACCTGGGGCAAATAAAAGTAATTGAGAGAATGGCTCAAATTAACCATGTTAACACACATAATAAACTCTCATAAATTACCAAACACGTTAAAATGTTAACTTGAATATGTTGTAAAGTGCTTTTACTATTAAAAAAATTGATCATGTGAATTGTGTGATGTCATAGGGGATGCTTCCATGCTTCATTAGATGTGATACCAGAGTCTGAGTCTCAAAGCTAATGATCAGAAATGACTGAGGAAGAGAATGCAATAGATACAGAGATCTTCAGAAAAATATAATTCATACTGATAAAAGTTATGTTAAGTTTGTAAGATCCTTTGGTCAGACTAAACATGATTTAAAACAAATATATTGCTAAGATATCAACAAAATTACACCCTGTGTGTGGTCTGTACATGTCAAAAATGAACTAAAGGGGCAAAATCAATTTTCCTCAGGATATTTGACAAAACAGTCATGTGGTCTAACAGTCACTACTAATGAAGCATAACAATCATCCAATATGGGATCACACAATTCACATGACCACTATAATAGTTCACAACAGTCAAGAGCACATATTATTTGACAATTTACTGTGTTTGATAGCTTATTTGACAACTTTTTATGTATTTAAACATGATTAATGAGGGCTATTTTAGCTGTGTTTTTTATTTGCCCCGGGTGCCTTGATTTCAAGTTACTATGGCAACCATTTCTTATTTAATGTTTCTGTTATTCTAAATATTTTTTGCTGGATTAATAAAACATTCGGTGCTGCACATTCTGTGAAAATTCCATCGGAAAATATTGAAAAATGAAGAAATTAGAGAGATATTATGAGAACTTTATGATCAACCCTCGTATATAAGTCAGCACAGTATATATATATACTGATATCACGTGGTTACCCCAGAGGCCTGATACACGATGCAATCAAAAAAGCCAGAGAATATACTAGACATGATCTACTATACAGAAACAACAATGACAACAAAAAGGGTGATAAAAAAATCCCTTTTATTTCAACATTCAACCCTAGAAACCCAGACTTGTTTTCAACTTTAAAAGAAAATGCAGTTGTTCTTAAAGGAATATTCCTTGCCAGACCCTTTCTCTCTTGATATGGTAGCTATAATCATATACATTGTATATAGTTTCCATATTTAGCAAAACATGGGAAAATGTTTTAATATGGTCAATATTGATCATTTAAAAATCTAGTGCTTATTTCCAGTGATCTGCCAT